ACACACCAGCTCAGAGGTGGCGGTGATGAGGTTTGAACATCTGCTCTGGCCCGGAATCACCCAAGGCACATGGGGGCTGGAACCATCCAGAGACCCCTGCCAAGTGCTTGATGCTTATTCACTCAGTCATTCATCTTTCAACTTCTATTTGCCCTCATGGAGCTTATGGTCCTGTCCCATAGGGGCCACTGGCCCACACATGGCCATTTAAATTTAAATTCATTAAAATGAAGAATTCAGGAGCCCTTGGCTGGCTCAGTGGGTAGAGCGTGCAAGTCTTGATCTTGGGGTTGTAAGTTCGAACCCCACACTGGGTATAGAGGTGACTTAAGAATAAAATATTTTAAAAAATGAAGAGTTTTTTTTACAGCTGAAACTAATGGAACATTGTGTGTCAACTATACTCAACACAAAAATATTAATAGTTTTGGGGCACCTGGGTGGCTCAGTTGGTTAAGTGACTGCCTTCAGCTCAGGTCATGATCCTGGAGTCCCGGGATTGAGTCCCACATCGGGCTCCCTGCTCAGCAGGGAGTCTGCTTCTCCCTCTGACCCTCACGATCTCTCTCTCTATCTCATTCTCTCTCTCAAATAAATAAATAAAATCTTTTAAAAAAATGAATAGTCTTTAATTTTTAGAGCAGTTTTAGGTTCACAGCAAAATTGGGAGGAAGGCACAGAGATTTCTCATGTACCTGCTGCCCCCACATATGCACAGCCTCCCCCACCCATCAACATCCCCCACCAGAATGATGCGTTACCACTGATGAACCTACACCGACATATCATCGTCACCCAGAATTTGCAGTTTATGTTAGGGTTCACTCTTGGTGCTTATATTGTATGGGTTTGGTGTTTTTTGAAGTTTGTATGTATGTATGTATGTATGTATATATGTATTTATTTATTTGGCAGGCTCCACGCTGGAGTCCAATGCGGGGCTTGAACTCATGACCCTGAGATCAAGACCTGAGCTAAAATCAAGGGTCTGGACACCCAACCAACTGAGCCACCCAGGCGCCCTGGGTTTGGTGTTTTCATTGCATGGGTTTTGACACGCATCCATCATTATAGTATCACACAGAGTAGTTTCACTGCCTAAAAAATCCTCTGTGCTCCAGCTGTTCATCTCTCCCTTTCCCTGACCCTTAGAAACCACTGATTCTTTTCGTGACTCCAAAGTTTTGCCTTTTCCAAAATGTATAGTTGGAATCGTACCATATGCAGCCTTTTCAGATTGGCTTCTTTCACTTAATAACATACATTTAAGGTTTCTCCATGTCTTTTCATGGCTTGATAGATCATTTATTTTTAGTGCTGAGTAATTTTCCACCATCTGGGGGCGCCTGGCTGGCTCAGTCAGTGGAGCATGTGACTCTTGATCTGGGGGTTGTGGGTTTGAGCCCCATGTTGGGTGTAGAGAATACTTAAAAATAAAATCTTAAGAAAAATAATCCATTGTCTGGGCGCCTGGGTGGCTCAGTTGGTTGAGCGACTGCCTTCGGCTCAGGTCATGATCCTGGAGTCCCGGGATCAAGTCCCACATCGGGCTCCCTGCTCAGCAGGGAGTCTGCTTCTCCCTCTGACCCTCTTCCCTCTCGTGCTCTCTATCTCTCATTCTCTCTCTCTCTCAAATAAATAAATAAAATCTTTAAAAAAAATATTCCATTGTCTGGATGGACTACAGTTTATTCATCACTTACCGAAAGCCATCGTTTTCTAAGTTTTAGAAATTATGAATACAGTTGCAATAAACATCTGTGTGCGGGTTTCCTCTGTGAAAGTCACTTTTCACCTTTGCACGCACCGTTTTAAAGGGTCATTCTGGGGGCACCTGGGTGGCTCAGTCGATTAAGTGTCTGACTTCAGCTCCGGTCATGATCTCGGGGTCCTGGGATCGAGCCCTGCGTGGAGCCCCACGTTGGGCTCTGTGCTCAGCGGAGAGTCTGCTTCTCCCTCTCCTTCTCCCCCGCTTGTGCTCTCTCTCCCTCTTTCTCAAATAAATAAACTCTTTTAAAAATAAAATAAAAGGTCATTCTGGCTGCAGTGGGAGGAGCTTAGGGAAGGAACGGCTCCTTCAAAAACTCTTTTGGTGGGATGAGGTCCTCTCAAAGGGGAGGACTTTGGCACTGGGGCAGGCGTGGAGGCTCTCCCGGTGGGCCTCTTCCTGCTTCGACCACCTTCAGCGGGCTCCATTCGCCCCTCACTGCAGCCTCCTGGGACTCAGAGGTTCTGCTCCCTGCAGTGCACTGAAGGAAGTGGGACTGGAGGGCTCTCTCTGCCTCTCCCAAGCCTCTGGGTTCTGGAGTAGAGACAACGTGGGCTCCAATCCCAATTTTGTTACTCACTCGGACCTGTGTCCTCTTCTGCAAGATGGGTAATAATAGGGCTTACCCGCCAGGGTTCAGTGACATTTCCAATAGGGTCCCATGTGGAAAGCGTGAGTAATAAGCACCAGTGTTGGAATGGTTGGCCATTGTCATTTATATTAGGAAAGAGCTTTTCTCCAGACCCCACATCTAGATGAACTGGAGGGGATGGGAGATACAGAGATCACCACCTTCCCTGCATCCTTTCCAGCCTCTACTCCAGGTTTTTGGGGAAGCCACAGCCAGGTGCTCAGACCTGGCTGGGGCCAGCCAGGCACCGCAGGGGTGGGCTCTGGGATCAGGAGCCACTGAGAGCGCTGTGAGGAAGTGTCACCCCAACCTGGAAACCACCCCTGAGTGGGTAAGAACAGTGAGGTGTTGGAACTGACTCCCCACCTCGGTTGCCTGGAGCCCACACTCAGTGGTTTCCAACTAAATGCTCCCCAGAACTGGAACACCTGAGAAATGTGGGACCCTAGGAGTTAGTTTGTGAATCGCTCCTCTGTGTTGGACACTTACATGGATCATCTCGTGTAATCAGTCATTTCGATGACAACGGTTTATCAAGGGCCTGTTATTGCCTAGCTCTGTTCTAGTGGGGTGCGGTGTCTAATGTGGGGTCTGTCCTAATCGCATTGGGGCCCCCAGCTGTGGGGCGAAGATCACACGGAACCCGGTGGTACAGGCCACGCGAGGCAGAACAAGGGAGACAGAGGTTTATTGAACACACCTGCAAGGGTGTGTTCAGGCAGGCCAGCAAAGCAGAGACTGTGCCAGGAGGCAGTGGGTGGGGGCTGTTTTTAAAGGGGGAAGGTGAGGAGGTATGGTGACATAGGGCATTTTCCCTTTTTTGGTAACTGTGCCGGGTCGTAAGTAGCCCATTGGTGAGGTGGATCACGTGGTGGGCCTGTCTGTATTCAGCCTGGGGGTCACTGTGGGCCCTTTCTACATTCCATCGCTCAAGCCTGTTTGCCTAACAGTGGCCTCTTCCCTGGGGGACAGAAAATAAACACCTCCAGCACACTGAAAAACACCTGATTACAGATTGTAGGGGAAACGGGGGAATGGGTCAGGAGTTAAAGGACTGGAGGAGAAACTCCTTTTGAAACTCCCGATGCCTGCCTAGGTCATAGTTGGGCTCCATGGTCAAGCCTTCAATAGTAAACAATGGCGCCTCCATTAACACTCATGTTTATTATGCTTGAAGTTGTATTTAACCGTTGACTAAACCACGAACTCTTTGGAACTCTTTGAGGCAAGGACTGTGCCTGCCCCAAGGATGGTCCACCCACAGAAGGAGCTCATCAAAGGCCTCTGGATACTAACAGGCTCAAACCAATGAGGTGGGAGGTAAGTGAGGCCCAGGGAGAGTATATGAAACCTGATGTGCTAGGTTGAGTAAGTGTCCCCCAAAGATTCACATCCGCCCAGAACCTCCGAATAAGGCCTTATTTGGAAACAAGCTCTTTGGATGTCACTACTTAAGGTCATGCCGAATTAAGGTGGATCCTAAATCCAACATGACTGGTGTCTTTATAAGAAAGGATACAGGCACACACACACACACACACACACAGAAAGGAAGACGCCCTGCAAAGACAGAGGCAGAACTTGGAGTGACGTCTCTGCAAGCCAAGGGACTCCAAGGATTGCTGGCCACCACTCAGCTAGGAAGAGCAAGAAGGAATGCTTCCTTAGAGCCGTTGGAGCATGGCCCAGTCGACATCTTCATTTCCTACTTCTGGCCTCCACAATTGTGAGAGAATGCATTTCTGTGGTTTAAGATCCCCCCCCCCGCCCCAGGTTGTGGCACTTTGTTCCAGCAATCGCAGGAAACATATACATGCTCAGGGTCACTGGGGAGAGAGCACCCGTGCTGACCCCGGAGCGTTCCCCACGGATTTTTATTCGTAAATGGTTTTTACACGCAAAGCGTTACGGGTGAGGGCACATCATCCACACGTTCGTCTATCCAGCAAGTGTTTACTCAGTGCCGACGATAGTTAGGGAGCATCCTAGGTCCCTGCAATCGTGCCGCTGAGGACAGGGAGAGAACAAAACAAAACAAACAAAAAAGACATAAAGAAAAAAGAAAAAGACACAGTAGGTCGGATAGTGCATAGAGCTACGGAGAAAAATACAAGATAAGGGGTAAGTTTGGGGTGGGTGTGGACGGCAGGGAGGAGGTGATGATGCCCTCGGCTGCGGGGTGGTCCGACATGTGGTTCTCGCACACTTGCAGGCACGGGGACGCAAATGCCAAGGCGTGGAGGCAGGAAAGTGCTAGGCCGGCAAGGGGAGACCAGTGTGGCTGGAAAGGAGCAGGCAGGGAGCAGAGGAGGGGGAGCCCAGGTCAGAGAGGCAGCTGCGGGTTACCGGCTCCTCCCCGGCTCACCCCGCGCCCTAGCAGGGCCCCAGGCAGTGGCGCCGCACCCAACATGGCAGCCGCGCAAGGCACGCCGGCTGGCGAGCGGAAGTGCGTAGCGGCAGGCGCCGGAAGTTGCTGGAAGCCCCGCCCCCTACCGGGGTGTCTGTGAAGCCGCGGACACGCCGGCTTTGAGCATCCCTGGCGGGCCAGGGGGAGGCCCTGGGGCTGCGGCTCCCGCGGCCGCGGCCCCGCCCGCCTTCGGCATGGCCAGCTCCGGAGAGGTACGGCCGGCGCCTCTCTCCGCTCTCCTTCCTGCCCTGCAGCCTTGGCTCCGCTCGGGCCTTCCCATCCCGCCCCGGTCCCCTTTGCGTCCTTTCCATCCAGCCCCCTAACCCGCTCCATCCTTCCCGTCCCGACCGCGGCCCAGCTCTGTGCTTCCCACCCTGACCTCGACCCCTACCCCCGGTGGCCCTTTCCACCCCAACCCTGGCGTCGGCCGGGTTTGGTCCTTCCCGCCCCGACCCTGGCCTCGGCCTCGCCTGATCCTTCCCATCCCTATCCTGGCCTTGCCCCTTGCCCCATCCTTGCCTCGTCCCGCCCCTCAGGCCCTCACCCTGTTGCGAAGGCACAGGCTCTCTCCCCTTGGGTTTTCCATCCCTTTCCCAGCCCCGCAGTCGTGATCGTCAGAGTTCTTCCCCGCCTCTGCGCCCCCAGAGTTTCCATGCTCCTGAAGTCCTCCCAGTACCTTTTCCCACGCCCCTGTACCTGAGCTCAGCCCTTGGAGCTATGAGACGTTCGTCTTTCATGTCCACTCAGCACCTCATCCTCTATCTCTGAATGCTCAGTTTCAGCCCACTTTTCTCTGCGCCTGCTTGTTGTGTGACTTGGGGGGTAATGGAGGAAAAGCCATTTTACCTGGGAGACTTCTGGCTTACCCTGGAATTCCTTTCCCCAGTGCTCCACAAGTCTGGGTTTGAGCCCCTGTGATGTGGTGCAAGGTATTTTATCTGCAGACCAGGGTATGGGGATCTGGACTCTGACTAGTGTCTTTCCATCTGTTGCTTCCTGCCTGTGTGTACTTGTGGGCACATGTGTGTCTATTTATCATCTGGGCCTTGGACCTTTGAGTGCACTCTCTTAGGGTCTTTCCTGTGCTCTGGGGAACAAGAGTCAGAGGTTCAGGTGTTTTCTTTGAAACGGATTGGGCTGGGGTTGCTGACAATTCCTCTTCTTTGGAGGTGAGTTTGGCTTTGAGGTGGCACCCCGAATGAGGGGTAGGGTGTGGGATACACCTGCAGACTGGTGGTAGGATTGAAGGGCCAGAAAACCACAGCTCTTTAAGGAATAGTTATGGAGTCGCCTGGCTGTGTTAGCAGATTCCAGGTAGTTGTGTGTACTTGCGGGAGTTGGGGGGCTGGTACCTTGGTCTTATGGGGTCCTGTACAAAGGGCCCTCTGTTCCATGAAGCACATATGAGTGACCTGGCCAGTGAAGCCTCTTGTATCGTGGATGTCTCGTTCTACCCTGCATGTGGAGATCAAGGTCCCCTCTGGGATGTTCTATTTATTACCTATTGATACATAGTTTGCATACCATAAAATTCACAGTTTTAAAGTGTGTGTGTGTTTATTTTTTATTTTTTAAGGATTTTATTTATTTATTTGACAGAGAAAGACACAGCGAGAGAGGGAACACAAGCAGGGGGAGTGGGAGAGGGAGAAGCAGGCTTCCCGCGGAGCAGGGAGCCTGATGTGGGGCTCAATCCCAGGACCTTGGGATCATGACCTGAGCCGAAGGCAGACGCTTAACGACTGAGCCACTCAGGCGCCCCAAAGTGTGTGTGTGTTTAAAGTAAGCTTTACACCTAACATGGAGCTTGAACTCACAACCCTGAGATCTAGAGTTGCATGCTCCATCGACTGGCCAGCCAGGCGCCCCAAAGCAGTTTTAAAAAATATATTCACAAGGTTGTGCAACTCTCCCCACCATAGGATTCCAGAATAAGGTGGTCTGATTTTGAAAGTCATTACTGGCTTTTAAAATGTAGATGCCCAGATTACTCCCAGAGTTTCTGGGAGTAGGGGTCTACGTTTCTTGTAATGGTTCAAATGATTCTGAAGTGGTGATCTGTTGACTCACCTGGTTCTATGCTTCTTTCTCTTGGAAATGAAAAACTGATCCCTGTTCCGGAGCCATACTTGGCCTAGTGAGGAGATAAGCAAGCAGGGAAACTGGAACAATTCATCAGATGAGGCTGGAAGGGGAGGGAGGGTCCCTGGTACCGCAGGGGAGGGGCAGGACCCGTCTGGCTGATGCTGGGAGGGCTTCACTGTGTTTGAGCCTTTTAGCCCAAGTTCTGAAAGTAGCAGTTTTCCTGTGTGGTGGCATGTCTGATGGAGGGAACAGCTTATGGGAAGGCTTGGAGGCATGACACAGGGCACATTCCAGAAAATGCCAACTAGAGAAGCAGAGACCTAGGAAGTGGGACAGAGCGCAGAGTGGAAACCCATACAATCCTGCACCTCTTCCGACTGACCCTGTGATTTAACAGTTTTTATAATGCAAAATATGCTATATATAACAATTTCACATCATGACAGTGCACTGTGATGAGCCTTTCTGTTGTACCCACTGCCCCGTTATTTAAAAAAAATATTTTTCCATTTAGTGTTTATTCTTTTTTGTTTTTTTAAGGAAACTTTATGCCAAACGTGGGGCTTGAACTTAGAACCCTGACATCAACATGCGTCACTGACTGAGCCAGCCAGGCGCCACCCCCCGACCAATGGCCTGTTGTCATAGTTAACACGTGACCGATTTCGTTTCATCTCTGTCTCTCCCTTTGGCTTATTTACATCAGTCCAGACATCTCATCAGTTGGTTTGTGAATCCTGTTATTTCTTTGGGTACCTGACTGGTAAACATCTGGGAGGGGGGTTGTTTTTTGGGCAAGTACTGAAGTTTCAGTACTTAATATTTCTTTTCTTTTTCTTTTTTTTTTTTGCTTCAGTTCTTTTTTTTTTTAAAGATTTTATTTATTTATTTGAGAGAGAGAGAAAGAAAAACAGCATGAGAGGGGAGAGGGTCAGAGGGAGAAGCTGGCTCCCCGCTGAGCTGGGAGCCCGATGCGGGACTCAATCCCAGGACTCCGGGACCATGACCCGAGCCGAAGGCAGTTGCCCAACCAACTGAGCCACCCAGGCGCCCTTTTTGCTTCAGTTCTTAAAAAAAAATTGTGAAATGTTACGTTCTGAGAAGTGCATTAAACTCTTTTTAACCTTACACTTCAAACCACCTATAAGCGGTCATCATCTGGTTCTAGCCATATGGTTCCCAGATACAGCTGAGAGACCCCCGTCTGTCCTTATCCCTGGATTGAATTTCTGCATACCACATGGGTTGCCTGTCCAGGACCTGTCAGGAAGCCCCAGCAGCCCTTTTCTTGTGGAGGGAAAGGCAGTTTCAGCTGATCAGGCCCAGCCTGAGTATGACCTCAGGCTGCTTACCCTTTTATTTTTTTTTTAAGTAAGCTCTATGCCCACTGTGGGGCTTGAACTCACGACCCCAAGATCGATAGTCACCTGCTCTACTGACTGAGTCAGCCAGGTGCCCCTTACCTAACGGTTTTGAGATGGAGACTGGGTTTGCCCTAGTTCCCCCAAGGCTGAGAACACATTGTTCTGAGAGGCGGAGGGAAGCAGGTGCCAGTGTATACGGGTGTGTGTGGAGGTGGGAATTCTCCGGGCCACAGTTTTGTTTCACTCCTTCCCAGGGAGCACTCCTGTTTGCTGTTGGCCTCTGGGGAGCTTCTGCCTTTCCTGGGGAAAAGATGTGTGTGTGGACTTAGGAACCACAGGACCTTGGCTTGGAAAGTCTGGGTTCCAGGCAAGAGACTTGACTATTGCAAACCCGGCAGCCACCTCCCAAGATTGTCCTTTGGAGACCAGGGGGACCCAGCTGCTCCCAAGTGCCTGCAGGGGGCTGGCCTCAGGGCAGCATTTGGGAGCACAGAATGTGGGGAAAGTCATCTTGTGGGGTGTGCTGAGACTGGACAGGGGGCTGGAACTGAGTTTCTGCCTTTTTTTTTTTTTCTTCTTAATGTAATTTCTAGGTGGTTTTAATGGTGTTTTTTGAAATCTTTTTTTTTTTTTTTTTAATGTGAGCTCCATGCCCAATGTGGGGCTCGAACTCATAACCCTGAGATCAGGAGTCACATGCTCTACTGTCTGAGCCAGCCAGGTGCCTCTGTAACTTCTGGGTGGTTTTAAGAGAAATTCAGTATTAGTAGTATAATGTGGACATTATATGACTCCCTTAAATTTGGAAAAGAATTGAAGTTTCATTTTGAATCTCTTACTTTTGGCGAGAGCTTCTTACACTGTTTTGCCCTGTGTTCTCATTGCTCCCAGAAGGCGTTCTTACTTTGATAAATCTGCAGATAGGGGGATGAGGAGGGGTTTGCCTCAGGCTGCTCAGCGGATTCAAGCCATTCCTCCCTCTTGCCCCTAGGCCGTCTCCCTGCCAGTGCCCTGTTGCCAACCTTGCCTGATAAGGATCCCTCTGGTTTGAGCCTCTCCCTGCAGACTGAGTCCCTAGGTCTGGGGTGGGGTCTGGGAATCTGATCCCCACGCCTGGCTCTGGGAAGCACTGAGCTAAGGAAAGTCACTAATGGTTGAGAACACTAGCCCCTTGGACTTGGGTGCCCTTGCAGACCTTGGGAGTAGCGGGACAGGATTGAAGGCACCTCAGATGGAAAGGGGAGCAGTGAGGGCATGTCTGGCTGCTGCCTCTTAGGGAGAAGGGAACGTGGGAAGGACTAGTGCTGTTAACCAGGTGGGAAATATTTGTTGAGACCCTTTCCCAGGCCTGTGGAGGGCTTGGCAGGCCGTGGAGCTTGTCAGGACCAAGTAGAGGGGCACTGCAGTCCGAGTGCCTGGGAACCCCCTGGAGGCTGCCTGGGGCTTGCGCAGGCATGGCTCTCCCGCCCCGGGGTTCATTGTTGCCATGGCAGCAGCAGGGCTTTCCAGGCCTCGGTGCTTCCATCCCTGCAAATGTGTGCAGAAGAAAAGTCAGGCCGGAGGAGGAGGGCTTGCAGACAGAATCGTTGGAAATGGCAGGAGAAATAATCATGGGTGCTCTCTCCTGGGAGTGGTCAGACAGGCACCCCCTCAGTGAGGACGGTTTGGGGGGGGCTTGGATCCCTTCTGGGGAGTGCTGGGAAGATACAGGGATCCCTCCCCACCACGGAGAGCCTCCAGTTCCTTTGTCCTTGATTTGGGGATTTCAACCCACCAACCTGGGTTGAACCCCCTCCCTCTCGGTTGTAAACATCAACCGGGAACGGCGGAAGGCCCACGTTAGGGAAGAAAACCTTTTGCCGATAGCTACCAGAACAAACTGAAATGTGTGGACATCTTGCGAGAGGTACAACGCCAGTTCCTAGCCAGAAAGTGTGATAAGGCAGGGTGGCTCCCTGTTATCTAGTAGTACTGATCTTAATATCATGAGTAGGTGCTGTTTCTTTCTTTCTTTCTTTTTTTTTAAGATTTTATTCATTCATTTGACAGAGAGACACAGCGAGAGAGGGAACACAAGCAGGGGGAGTGGGAGAGGGAGAAGCAGGCCCCCCGCCGAGCAGGGAGCCCGATGCGGGGCTCGATCCCAGGACCCTGGGATCATGACCTGAGCCGAAGGCAGACACCCCTAGGTGCTGTTTCTTATTCATAAGGACTTGGTGGTTTCATTCTTCTGGCTTTGCTTGCCCTTAATCCCAGTGCTGGGACTAGCTGCCCCCCGCCACTGGCTGAGGGCTTGATATCCATCACAGCAACCCCGAGAGGTAAAGTCACTGTTGTTAGCCCCAGTTCTTACTGTTTCTTTTTTTTATTTTTTTTAATTATTTTTTTTTAAAGATTTTATTTATTTATTTGACAGAGAGACAGTGAGAGAGGGAACACACCAGAGAAGTGGGAGAGGGAGAAGCAGGCTTCCCGCTCAGCAGGGAGCGCGATGCGGGGCTCAATCCCAGGACCCTGGGATCATGACCTGAGCCGAAGGCAGATGCTTAACGACTGAGCCACCCAGGCGCCCCCTTACTGTTTCTTGATAGAATTCTCCCACCCAAGTGTTTTAAGAATCCAGTATGTTGGGCGCCTGGGTGGCTCAGTTGGTTAAGCGACTGCCTTCAGCTCAGGTCATGATCCTGGAGTTCCAGGATCAAGTCCCGCATCGGGCTCCCTGCTCAGCGGGGAGTCTGCTTCTCCCTCTGACCCTCTTCCGTCTTGTGCTCTCTATCTCTCATTCTCTCTCTCTCAAATAAATAAATAAAATCTTAAAAAAAAAAAAAAATCCAGTATGTTGTTGGGACAGTGGGAGAATAGCAGCTTTCACAAGCAGACAGCCCTGGCCAGTGGTCCTAAGTGGAATCTGAAACGTGCCAGACTTGATAGGAGACCTTTAGTAGGAAAACTCCCTTAAATTTGGAAAAGAATTGAAGTTTCATTTTGAATCTCTTACTTTTGGCGAGAGATCCTAGTGTGCAGATCTAAAAGGGGCTTTTGAAGAGTATCATGGCTTCTTGCTCTGCAGTTAAGATTTTTGGTAAAAGCACCTTCTTTCCCACAGACTATGGCGAGGGCTGCTCTTGGCATCTGTCCTTGGCTGAGGAGGCCAGGCTGAAGGCCACCCTTGGGGATCCCATGGGAATTCGGTGTTGCCCTTATTTTCAGGACACATCCAACGATGACGACATGCCCCCTGCAGCAGCCGCCATGGCAGTGGGCGCCCACCTTCTCGGCTTCTCGGATGAGATCCTGCTGCACATCCTGAGCCACGTCCCCAGCACAGACCTGGTTCTGAATGTCCGGCGCACCTGCCGGAAGCTCGCGGTGCTGTGCCTGGATAAGAGCCTCACCCACACCGTGCTGCTGCAGAAGGACTATGAGGTGAGGCAGGGGTCACAGGGGTGGGCACAGCCCACATGCCCACCTGAGGACTCGCATAGCTGGGCAGTGGGGCTCCGTGTGGCTGGTGACAGAGGGGGCGGGTGCTCAGAGTCCTGACTGGCTCAACCTCTGAGACACATGAGGTGATGACAGCTAGAGGCCGAGAGGTGCGGGTAGCGGGTCACCCAGCAGAGGGGCACGGGCTCAGTGGATGCTGTGCTGGGACGGAGCCAGCTTTCCCTGCAGATGCCCAGGAGTGGGTTCTGGAACTTTCTCGGTGGTGTGGGGAGGCACCATCTTACCCTCCAGCAGCTGCATGTGGGCCTTCAGTTGCCTTGCACCCTCCTGGCCAGGCTTCTAAGTGTCTGTTCTTCTGATGGGTGGGACAGGTGTCGCCTTGTGCTTTTACCTGGCCTGGGTAGGGTGCTGGGTGTCCACGGTGCTGTTTCCATCCAGGGCTGGGCCATCCCTATATCTTCTTTCCAGAAGCCACTGCGTAGGGCTTTATCTTGTGGAGTTCTAGGAGTTCTCTTGTACTCTGGATCCTTTGTCAGATACCCGTATTGCGAGTATTTTCTCTGAGTCCGTGGCTTGCTTTTCTGTTTTTTTTTTTTAACAGTATCTTTTGAAGAGAGTAAGTGTTTATTTATTTTTTTAAAAGATTTTATTTATTTATTTGACAGAGAGAGATAGCAAGAGAGGGAACACAAGCAGGGGGAGTGGGAGAGGGAGAAGCAGGCTTCCTGCTGAGCAGGGAGCCCGATGCGGGGCTCGATCCCAGGACCCTGGGATCATGACCTGAGCCGAAGGCAGACGCTTAACGACTGAGCCACCCAGGCGCCCAAGAGAATAAGTGTTTCAGTTGAAGTCCAATTTATTGATTTTTTTTCGAGTTCATGTTTTTTGTAATCTGTTGAAGAAAACTGTTAGACCTGAGGTTGCGAAGATTTTCTGCTACGTTGTCTTGTAGGAGCTTTATAGCTTTAGCTCTTACGGTAAGTGTGCGATCCCTGTTGTGTTAATCTCTATATGTGGTGTGAGGTAAGGATCAAAGGTTCCTTTCTTTGCATACGGCTCTTCAGTTATTCCAACATCACTTATGGACACTGTTGTCCTTTCCTCAGTAAGTGCCTTGCAAATTTTTTAATTATGTTTTTACATTTTAATTCCAGTATAGTTAACATACAGTGCTATATTAGTTTCAGGTGTACATCACCTGGTGCTCACCACAAGTGTACTCCTCAGTCCCCATCACCAATCTCCCCTGCCCCCTGCCTCCCCTCTGGTCACCATCACTTTGTTCTCTGTAGTTAAGTCTGTTTCTTGATTTGTCTCTCTTTTTCCCTTTGCTCTTTTGTTTCTTAAATTTACATATGAGTGAAGTCATACAGTGTCTTTCTTAGACTTACTTCACTTAACATTAAGCTCTCTAGCTCCATCCATGTTGTTGCAAATGGCAAGATTTTATTCCTTTTTATGGTTGCCTTGCAACTTTTGTTGAAAGTCAGTTGACGACATATCTTAAAGATGACAATAGAGGTCTTGACCGGAACCCAAATTTTAGGAGACTGTGGGAGGGGTTCCTAACTGTTGTCACTGGTTGTGAAGCTATGCATTTGAACCCCAAGTGAGGCCCCTCCAGAGCTTGGTTCTCTCTGTGAGAGCATGCTGTGCTCCTCTCTGCTGGGAGAGTGTGGGTGTGCGGGGAGGCTGAGCTGACTCCCCAGAGCCAAGGTCGGGCTTCCTCCCTGGGAGAGTTCTTTCTTGGAGAGGGAGGGGCAGGTGCCCCCAGCGCAATGGCGCAGCACCGTGTATCTGGAGCATTGAAGATGCTTGTGTCCTGCACGAGTCTACCTGAGAGAAGTGATCGGGATGCACGCACATCCGATGCGCCGGTGCTCCAGGCGGTGTTGCTGCTGAAGGCCTCCTTGGCAGCGGCCAGGACGTCCAGCTGTTGGCCCCCAGGTTCCCTCACTAGACGTACCATGGCTCACGTAAGCAGTCCATGGCAGGTTTTTGAGGAATATTTAAGATGTGAAAATGCAGATGATGTAAAGGATCAAGTTTTCAGGGCACGATTCCATTGTGTGATTCAGAAAAACCCACGTCAACATAACGTGTACCATCTTTACCATTTTTAAGTACGTGTTGCTGTATGTTACTCAGTACATCCATTTGTGGTGTTGTGCCAGAAATTTTCCATCAACCTGAACAGAAACTCTGGATCCTGTGAGCAGTGACTCCCTATTCCCCCTTCCCCCAGCCCCTAGCAACCTCTGTTCTGCTTTCTGCTTGTGAATTCGCCTCTTCTGGGTAATTCGTGTAAGTGGAACCACACAACATGGGATCTTTTAGGACTGGCTTCTTTCCCCTTGTGTGACGTCCTCAAGGTTCACCCACATTGTGGCGTGCGTCCGAGCTTTGCTCCTTTCCGTGGCTATATAGTCTTTCCTTCTATGTGCAGACCATGTTGGTTCTGTCTGTCGGTGGGTGTTGGGTGGTTTCCACCTCCTGGGACTAGTGCTGCTGTGAACATCGGGGAGCAGGGAGTGAGTCCCTGTTTTTCCTGTTCCCTCGGGCCCACGGCTAGGAGGGGAATTGCTGGGTCACATGGTCACTCCGTGTTTAGCTTTTTGAGGAACCAGCACACTTTTCCACACCAGCTGCACCATTTTTACATTCCTGCCTAACTGGGGCCTCTTGACTGTTGGCCTGTGGTAGGTGAGCATGTGGGAGGGGGAGGAGGGGCCAGCTCTCCCCTCCAGTGTCCCTCCTCCGCTGGACTAGTGAGCCCCTGAGTGTCGTGGGGGAGGGCGCGACATGGACTGCTTACGTGAGCCATGGTAAAGGTGAAGGAGTCGCCTGGGTGTCTTCAGCCCCTTTCCTTCCTTGACCACCCCCCTCCCCCCATTCCCGGCCTTTGCTGCAGGCGAGCGAGGACAAGGTGAAGCAGCTGGTGAAGGAGATCGGCCGGGAGATCCAGCAGCTCAACATGGCCGGCTGCTACTGGCTGTCGGGTGCCACTATTGAGCACGTGGCCCGCTGCCGCAGCCTGGTCAAGGTGAACCTCTCGGGCTGCCACCTGACCTCCCTGCGCCTCTCCAAGATGCTTTCGGCCCTGCAGCACCTGCGCTCCTTGGCCATCGACGTGAGCCCCGGCTTCGATGCCGGCCAGCTGAGCGGCGAGTGCAAGGCCACGCTGAGCCGCGTGCGGGAGCTCAAGCAGACGCTGTACACACCATCCTACGGTGTCGTGCCCTGCTGCACCAGCCTGGAGAAGCTGCTGCTCTACTTCGAGATCCTCGACCGCACACGCGAGGGCGCCATCCTCTCGGGCCAGCTGATGGTGGGCCAGAGCAACGTGCCCCACTACCAGAACCTGCGGGTCTTCTACGCGCGCCTGGCCCCAGGCTACATCAATCAGGAGGTGGTGCGGCTCTACCTGGCTGTGCTCAGCGACCGCACGCCCGAGAACCTCCACGCCTTCCTCATCTCTGTGCCTGGCAGCTTCGCCGAGAGCGGGGCCACCAAGAACCTCCTGGATTCCATGGCCCGCAACGTCGCGCTGGACGCCCTGCAGCTGCCCAAGTCCTGGCTCAACGGCTCGTCCCTGCTCCAGCACATGAAGTTCAACAACCCGTTCTACTTCAGCTTCAGCCGCTGCACGCTGTCCGGAGGCCACCTGATCCAGCGGGTGATCAACGGCGGGAAGGAGCTCTGCAGCCTGGCGAGCCTGAACCTCAGCGGCTGTGTCCACTGCCTGTCCCCGGACTCCCTGCTCCGCAAGGCGGAGGACGATATCGACAGCGGCATCCTGGAGACGCTGGTGGCGTCCTGCTGCAACCTGCGCCACCTCAACCTCTCGGCCGCCCACCACCACAGCTCTGAGGGCCCGGGCCGCCACCTCTGCCAGCTGCTGGCCCGGCTGCGCCACCTGCGCTCCCTGTCCCTGCCCGTCTGCTCCGTGGCCGACTCGGCGCCGCGGGCCGACCGCGCGCCTGCCCAGCCCGCCATGCACGCCGTGCCCCGCGGCTTCGGCAAGAAGGTGCGCATCGGCGTGCAGTCCTGCCCCAGCCCCTTCTCGGGGCAGGCGGGCCCTCAGCCTTCCTCCGTGTTCTGGTCTCTGCTGAAGAACGTGCCCTTTCTGGAGCGCCTCGAGCTGATCGGGTCCAACTTCTCCTCCGCCATGCCGCGCAACGAACCCGCCATCCGCAACTCCCTCCCGCCCTGCAGCCGCGCGCAGAACGTCGGGGACTCGGAGGTGGCCGCCATCGGGCAGCTGGCGTTCCTGAGGCACCTGACTCTGGCCCAGCTGCCCAGCATCCTGACGGGCTCCGGGCTGGTCAGCATCGGCCTGCAGTGCCAGCAGCTGCAGTCCCTCTCGCTGGCCAACCTGGGCATGATGGGGAAGGTGGTCTACATGTCTGCCCTCTCGGACATGCTGAAGCACTGCAAGCGGCTGAAGGACCTCAGGTGAGGGGGCCCTGGCAGCTCCTCTGTGGCCTCGGCAGGCCCCTTGGAGGCGTGGGAGGCGGCGGGGGGATGTGGGTAGCACGGCCTCTCATTCGGCAAATGTTTGCGCACCTACTGCCCGTCTGCCGAGATGGGCTGAAGGAGGGGCGGGCTGGCCTCCAGCGGCTGAGAGTCCGGGCGGGGCTCACAGGGGCCCCGCAGGCGGGGACCGGACAGGGGGGCAGCAGTGGGCGGAACCCAGGGAGGGCAGGCGGGAGGCAGGGATGCGCTCAAAGATGCTACTGCGCGCGGTCTTGCTCCGTCCTCCTGACGGCCCGGCGAGGTGGCTTTTCTTGCTCCCGTGCAACAGCTGGTAAGCGGGGCAGCAGGAGCCGAACTCGGGGCTTTTTGTCCGACTTTGTGATTGTCGGAGCTATGAGTCCATGAGCTGGGAGACTCGAGGCCGAGGCTTGCTGGGAAAGTAGGCAGCATGTGCTGTAGCCCCCGTGGTCTTGCAAAAACACACGTGTCCCAAAGCACAGGCGAGGTGGCGCAGGGAACCAGATGAGGTGAAAGGACTTCAGCCGGCGCAGGGGGGCGGGCCGATTTCCGGTTGGGAGAGGCCCCCCCACCGGTACCCCACCCGGACAGGAGGGGCCGGGACGGAGGATCTGGAGAGGGCCGCCGAAGCGGGGGCCACACACGGTTGGGAGGTGACGGAGCCTGGGGCAGGAGGCAGGCTGGTCTGAGAGAGTGAGGGCAGAACCCACCAGGCCCTTGTCACAGGGGCCCAGATTTGGAGTGGACTCTACCGAATCGAGCTGTGGGGTGAGGGGGGCTCTCGTGAGGACCCAGCGTTTAAAGGGGAAGAGCCTCTGTTGACTCGAGACGTGTTTGAAAATCTTGACAGACCTGATCTTGCAAAATTGCACTGTTTCCTAGAAACTACTGGAAAGGTATGGTGGCAGCGGACCCCAGCTCTCGCTTCAGGTTGGGGAGGAAGTGGCGGCAGGGTGTGGATCCGTTAGCTGGTCTCTCCGTCAGGCTGGAGCTGAGGGGTGGGTGGCTGGGTGGGGGCGGCGCCAGGGGCCCTGAGACGAGTTTGTCATTGTCCGCTCGATGGTCCGCACGCACTTTGTGCTTTTGGTGAGGCCAGGTGCTCAGCCAGGGGCTTCCGGGCACTGTCTGATTTAATCCCCGGGACAGCCCTCCATTGTTCCCATTTCACAGATGAGCCAGTGGAAGCTTGAGGGAGGAGTTGAGGTTCACTCAGCTCAGTCTCACTCCAGAGCTTGACCTTGGCCCCGGAGCCATGCAAAATGGAGACATCTGTGTCCTTTGCTGACCTCCACTCTCCCCTCAGAGGGTGTCATGTGACAGGAAATGGGCCAGATTTGCGTTGGAGCTGGCAGAGGGCTTTGCGCTCACGCCCTGGAACCTTGCACAGCTCCCCTGCAGACTGCCTCCGCTTCCCCTCCAAGCACAATACGAACGCTGCGGCTCCCTGAGGCCCTGCTCATCAGGGGCTGAGAGGCCCAGGGCCCAACCCCAGCCTTCCACGCGGCAGAGCAGGTGTTTTCCTGCTGTGTTGGATTCACACTCCCTGGATTCGCAGCTTGGGTCCTCAGCCTGAGTGTCTTCAGAGCTCTGTATTTGGGAGTTGTTTATGCTGTGTCCTTCACGTTCCAGTTACACTTGCTTTGAGAATCTGCTTTGAGTCAAAGTTAACTTCGTGCGAGTTTTGTTGTCCAGTGTCTGTGAGACCGTGTAGCCACGTGCTGAGCTGCGGGTGCTGGGCTCTGGCTGTGCCTCCCCAGCCATTTCTGGAGCTTGCCCAGAGGTCATACAGGAGGTCACGAGAGGGTTAAGGACGTGCGATGGGCAGAGTTGCTGTTCCCGTTGCAGGGCCTTTGGGACCCTCTGTCCTGCTCCGGGTGGGCCCGGCACTCCTGGCCACTGGCTTCCCAGGGCTCAGGGGAGTGAGGACTGCAGGCCTGCTCTTTGCTTCTTGACCGCCCCCCCCATGTTCTTTTTCCTGCCCATCTCTGCCTCATGGCCCTCATCGAGTCCTCTGTGTTACTTTCTCTGGCTTGGGCACTTCTGCTGGGGTGGGGTGGAGGAGAGGCCCTGACCGCAGCGGCCAGCCCCCTCCACCACCCCCTGCACGGGACGGGCCTTTCCAACTTCTGAGGTGCCCACGCTTGCCTTCTTGCCTGTTTGTTTCTGACACCAGGAATCCGTGACCTCTCTGTTCACTGGTTCTTCTCTGTCCAGCACCTTGTCCCACCTTGCTTCTTCCTGTGCCTTTGCTGTCATGTCACTGGCCTTTCTGGAAGAAGTGGTGGTAAGTGCATGGTCAGGAGGCCACATGTCACTGGAAGGTGCAAACAGATCCCTATATTTAACAAACAGAAGACTCCGCAGGTCTGCGACCTGCTAACCTACGGGAGTCTGTGATTAGGAATTGAATGTTCCTTAATGAGGGGAGGCCCAGTGAGCATTTGAGGTCGAATTTCACCAAATTCGGAGTCAAAGTATTTTTGGATCTCTCATCTTTGCCATTATTTATTTATTTATTTTTGCCTTCTTGCCAGCCCATTAAGCCTTGTACCTTTTCTGACTGGACTGTGGTCACACCATTTGGTCATCATCGGGGAGTATTGGATAAAAACAGAAACTGATGAAGGTAAAATAAAGTAACACAGTCATGTAATTCAGCAAGTCAGAGTAGTCGAAATCTCTCCCCCAAACATCTGCCTCACTCCAGAGCATTCAGTGTCTGGTAGCCTGCAGGGCCACTTGGAGACGGCAGGTGCTCCCGGCTCCCTGGGTTGCCGGCCCCTCCACCTCGGGGAGAGGGGAGTGGCCATGGCGTCTGAGCTGGTTCACCGCCCCCCCCCCCAACCGCGGCACTCCCAGGTCCTTTACCTGTGAAGTGGGGCTGGTAAGCCCAAAGGAATTTGTACCTCTAAGGCCTAAGGAACAGGGCTTGGCACCTGCGGTCCCTGTGATGGTTCTTTCTCCATCTAACAACTATGTGAACCCCTGTTATGCTGAGTTCTGTCCTAGGCAGAGAGATCCTTGTCCCTGGGGAGCTGACATTCCAGTGGGGAGAGTGGGCCAACAGTGCACAGAAGAAAGAATGTGGTTTATGAGAGAGTAAGGGATGCTGGGGAGAAGGAAGCAGAGCGGGCTGAGGGATGACGGAGGGCAGGTGGTGGTGAACGTCGTGAAGGTGAGATTTGAGAAGAGATTTCACGAAGCTGAGTTAGCAAAGTGGAACCTGGGAGGAACATTCCAGCCGGGCGGAGCGGCACGGAATTCAGTGTCCGTGAATCACAGGCGACTTAACGTTTGAATGAGTTAACATGAAATAGACTCGGGCATGCGGTTTCTCAGTGGTACGAGCCACGTTTCAGGTGCTCAGTGAGCGCACGTGCTCGTGGCTGCTGCAGTGGACAGGGCGCATGTGCGGAACGTTCCCGTCTGCACAGAAGGTTTTGCTGGACAGAGCCGAGTCTGTGCCAGGGCCTTGGGGTGGGCTGTGCCGGGTGTTCCAGGAGCAGCCAGGGGCCCGTGTAGTTGGAGGGGAGCAGAAGGGCAGGTCACCCTGCCATCTCCAGACGGGCTGGGACAGCACGGAGAGATTGGAGTTTGCTGATTGATTGGATCCCTGGGGCGGGTGGGGGGGGCGGGTCAAGGTGGGTCCTGATGGAGGCATTTGGCCCGAGCAGTTGTGCTGATGCGGCTGCCATCAGCGGAGAGGGGAAGGCTGTGTGGCTCGGCTGCGCTCGTGCATGCCGGAGTCTGTGAGGCCGTGGGGTCACTCAGCAAGAGTCAGGGTGGAGGAAGAATCAGCAGAGCCGACTGAGCAGGAGCCGGCGGGAGGGCGGGCAGGGCTGAGGTGGCAGACGGAGCTGGGAGGTGTCCTGGGAGCTACGGGAAGGGCCGGGGGGGCCGACTGCGGTTGCATTCTGCCAGCGGACTTGTCACGGCTGCCAGGTGCTTTTCCTGCGTGTCCGGGTTTGACTCCTTTAACATTTTGAACAACCCCAGGAGTAGAGCTGTTGTCCCATTTTGCAGGTGAGGAAAGTGAGGCCCAGAGGACCGAGGAGCTTGCCTAGGTGATACAGCTGGTCTGTGGGCTCCTGGCGCCGGGGAACATTGAAGAGCGGGACACAGCAGCATTTGGTGGTCACCGAGTGGCTTCCGGGGCTGGAATGTGATCCTTGTGGCGAGGTCCTCCCCGGGAGCAGGGCCGTGCATGTATGGTGGGTTTTGTGGCTGGGGCGGCCCGCAGGACCCAGGATAAATGGGTTTTGTAGGTCAGCCCGAGAACTTGACCGCCACTCATAATGGACTCTCTGTGCACGCCGGCTGCTGAGAACCATGTCTGATCAGAGCTGGGGACTGCCTGTTCAGAACAAACACCACTTCCTAAAATGCGGCCAAATGGCCCCGTTCCTCTGGATTCCTGCCTTCTGCGGCAAGCCGAGCCCAGGGAGGCTGGAGTGAAAGGAGCAGGTGGTACTTGCCCGCCTGCCGTGCGCAGGAGCCACAGAAAGGAAATGGTGCTCTGAGCCTGGGAGAGACTGGCACGCTGCTTCTGGGGCCGCCTCCCTGGGCAGCCCCTGCTCTTCCTGGTGGGAGGTCCCCGGCCGGCCAGCTGTGGCCACCACTGTCCCCATCAGCGAGGCCCATCAATTTGAGCTTTGTGCCTGCTGGGACTCCTGGCCGGGAGCTGCGTCCGTGCAGCCAGGGCCACTCCTGCGGGGAGGTCGCGCAGGAACACGTCGTTCTGAGGCGCACCTCAGCAGAGAGAGGGTTACAGGCTGCACAGAGAAGGGCACCTTCTTTCCCAAGACTGATTAAGCCCTGCCTTACGGGGGAGGGAGGGTAAAGCATTACCCCGAGTCACCCTGGGCTGCTCATGACCTCAGAACCAGGGCAGCGTCTGGGCGGAAGCGAGAGGGCTGGTTTGGAGCCAGGCCCTGGAGGCTGTGCCAAGTCCGCCCCAGAGGCCTAGGCCCCGCTGGAGGTGGGTGGGCAGATGGGGGTGCTCCCCTAGCACCTTCCTGTGCCCACAGAGCCACGGGGAGACCAGGCTGCCTCTCCGGGAGCGGGCTCTGGAGGCCAGATCCTCACTGGTTGGAAGGTTGAGGCATGGCTGGGAGGGAGCAGGACCATGGGCCCCCCAAGGCGAAGGTGATTGTGACGGATCATATTTGTCATCCGCAGCCCCACTGTGCTGGGAGCGGAGGGGAGGTTTGGACGTGTGGGCCCTGCCTGTCCAGGGTGGAGTGGACAGGCCTGCCCCCATCCCAAACACCTGTTGCAGGTGGCTTCCTTCAGAGTGGGAGAGCCTGGAAGTGGTCGGCTAGCTGAAAACTGTTCTAAAACTGTTCTAAAAGCGTGTGTGAACACTCACACTGCTTACTGGGTTTGTAACCGAGATCTTGGGCGGGTAGCGTGGACCCGCAGCGCCACCTAGTGACCAGGGTGCCCCAGGCCCGTGCTTCCTTTCCTGCCTCCTGCCCCAGGGGCAAGCCTGAGCTGCAGGCCAGCCCCCCCCCCCCCCCCCCCCCCCCCGCCCCCAGCCTGGACTTCTGCCCCTCCCATTTTCCCACCCTCAGGTCTGCAAAGGGATGCTTACCTTAGGACTTTGAAAAGAATAATTTCTTTTTGAAAGAGAATGCAAGAATGTGTTCAAACATTTTCTCAAGAAAAGTTAACTTTTCAAAAAAATTCGCATTCCTAACTGGGCTGACATTTACTTGCTGTCTGGGCCCTGCGTGACTTCAGGTGTTACCTTATCCTTGCTTGGGGTGCATTACGACCGCACTCAGCCACCATCGCATCTCTGAGGGGCACTGCTCCCTGCTTGCGCCTCTCTGAGTTCTTTCTTTAAGGATGAAATTCATTCAGTGGGGTCTGGGGCTAAGGCCCGAGCTCCACATCTCTGGCGTGGATCTCGTGCATGGCCCGTTTGGGTCTTGTTTGGCTTTGAGGACTGGGGGGCCATCCCTTGTCCTACACCCAGTTCCGGTCAGATCAGCCTCTCTCATGATGTTGCTGCATTCAGAGCATTTGGGGTCTCTCTCCCCTTGGGGGTTGGGACAGGACAACTCTGTCCCCAGTGCAGACCTGCCGCCTTGTGGTTGTGGGTGTGGGCATTTCTTGCTCATCCTAGAAACCTCTCCTTTTATGAGCGCTGTGTTGTCATGTGGCGCTATCCCCGCATGTACCTCCGGCGCTGTGTCTCTGCATGGCCTTCTTGGAAGGAACCCGCCGCTGGATTAGAGCGCCCCCAGTCCAGCATGACCTCATCCTAACGCCATTGCATCCGCAAAGACCCTGTGTCCAAGGAAGGTGTATTCACGGGTGCCAGGGGTTAGGACTGTGACATATCTGGGGGGGGACACAACTCCCACCAGCTCCCCTCTCCCTTCTCCTAGTTCTTGGCCCTCCTCCTGGCAGCTCCTGGAATCCTGTTAGCTTCCCCCAGCCCTCCCTTCTTCCACTGGCTCTCATTCTAGAGGGCTCCTGTGGCCTGTGGCCCAGTGTCCTGCCACAAATCCGGTGTGTGCTGGTTCCACAGCCGCGTTCCCAGCTGGTGCTGAACTGCCGTTGTCAGTTTTCCTCAGTGCCTCCAACAGTGTGTCCCCAGCACATCGCTCTGCCCTCGGAACTGCTCTGTCCTCTGGGCTTTGCATCTGGGTGTGCAGAAAGGTCTGGAAGGGCTTGGAGTGTTGTCCTCCCCTCCGTGTTCCTGGGTCCTGCTCTCGTCCCTGGGGCCGGGGTGTCAGTGCTGACCCCAGCGCTCCCTCCTGCCCGTGCCGAGGCCCTGCCCGGTGGCCAGTGTGGCTCTTGCCGTCCCTTCCTGTCTGCCTCTCTAAAGCAGGTCTGACCTGGGTGGATCTCCAGTTTTGCTTTGATTGTGGTCCGCGGCTGAAGTCCTGGCTTTGTGGCTTGGCTCCTGTTTCCCTTGGCTCCCCGCTACAGGACTGTGGATCTGCCCGGTACCTCCCCACCCTTCCCTGTGTGGCCAGAGCGGCCCTGACCCCGCCTGACTCGGGCACCTCTCCCACCCCAGCCTCCAGATCCCCTCCCTGTCCCTTGGCATTGCTCCGTGCATCGCAGGCGAGCAGTGATGTGTAACAGGGACCGTATCTAAGTACATCTCCCTGCCCCCTCGCCCGGCAGGTCAGCATTTGAGGTGGGGGGGGGGGATTGCTGAGCAGGCAGGGCCGCAAACGTGGTTGCCTCTAGACTCAGAGCAGTGTCTTGGCTGGGGTCTCTACAGTGGCTGGCTGCTTGCATCGGGCCTGCGGGGTCCCCCCCCCAACTCGGGCTCTTCTGGGAAGACCTCGGGGTCTTGAGTGCTCTCTCAGCGCTCCAGGGGGTTGTGGTGTAGACTGGTGTGGGGACAACTGGTGTAGGCCCTCTTTAGCTCATAAACACAGGCTTTGAGGGGGGCCTGGACCGAGAGGCTTCTGCGGCCGGCGCGCCCGTCAGCAGCGCGGAGCTCACTGTCCTCTCCCCCCGCAGGTTGGAGCAGCCCTACTTCAGCGCCAACGCCCAGTTCTTTCAGGCGCTGAGCCAGTGCTCCGCGCTGCAGCGCCTCTGCCTGGTGTCGCGCAGCGGCACGCTCCAGCCCGAGGCCGTGCTGGCCTTCATGGCGCGCTGCCTGCACGTCGTTGTGTGCCACATGTTCACCGGGGAGTCCCTGGCCACCTGCAAGAGCCTGCAGCAGTCCCTGCTCCGAAGGTGAGTGCTGAGGGCGGGCCGGGCGCTGGGGGCAGCTGGCCGCCTGGTGGCTGCCCCGCCTCGGGCTTTGCGCGGAGCCCAGCAGTTAGCTTCATGGACTTAATGCCTGCAGAGGTAGCGTGAGAACAGAGACTAGCTGCCTTTCCCCGCCGTGCCTTACCTCCCGGGCACTCCCTCTGCCACATGCCGAATTTCTGCACCGTTGAGGCGCAGAAGTATTCTCTCCACGCCCAGCTTCCCGTCCCTGCGGTACCGTTCTCCAGATGCGGGGTACCGGGGCCGGTCAGGCTGCAGACCTTCACGGGCCCTCAGCCCCGTCCCTGGACCTTTTCTGTTCCAGGGTTTGATGCAGAACTGCCCCTCACGCTCGTTGTCATGTCTCCTTAGCCTTGTTCGGTCTTTGACAGGCCTCAGTCTTTCCTGGTCGTTCATGACCATGACACTTGTGAAGAACGCTGGCCAGGTGTTTGGTAGAACGTCCATGAGTTTGGGCCAAAAATCCACAGAGGTGACGCCGTGTCCTCAGTGTGCTGTGCCAGGAACACAGGGTGTTGGCGTGTCTTCTCATTGGTGTCTGTGGGTTTCTCGGCTGTAAAGTCACATTATTCCCTTGTTTTTTTTCTTTGAAGATTTTATTTATTTATTTGAGAGAGAGAGAGACAGAAAGTGAGTGGGAGAGAGAGGGAGAGAGAATCTGAAGCCAACTCTGAGCTGAGCACAGTCGTGGGGCTCGATCCCACGACTGCAAAATCGCGACCTGAGCCTAAACCAAGAGTCGGACGCCCAACCAGCTGAGCCACCCAGGCACCCCCATTTTTCTTTTTCTAATTAACAAGCATCTTGTGGAGAGACACTTTGTGAGATTCTGCAAATACCCTTTTCTGTTGGAGTTTTATCTGCTGATTTTAGCGTCCATTGATGGATCTTGCCAGTGACAGTTGTTACTTTGATATTTGGCTAATGACTGTTTTCGGTTTCCTTCATTCCTTTTAGATTTGTTACTGGGAACTGTCCCCTGTGAAGGAACCTGTGCCTTCTCCACATTGACTTACTTAACATTTCTTTGTATTAGTACAGACTCATGGATATTTATCTCATTCAGTGGGTTTTCATCCTGCTCACACTGTTCATGTGGTTGCTCAGATTGTTCCAGATTTGGCTCCGGGGGCGTTCTTTCAGACTGGCTCCTGGGCCCTTGCAACATGCCCCTTCCTTTTCTGAGCACTTCCTTCCTTCCTGTCACTACCAGACATTCCAGCCCCAGGCCTGAAACCAACCATTTCTTTGTGGAGCCTGGCGCCTTTTATTGGAGGGTGGAATTAGAAACCAAGGTTGGGTGTTGGGTGTGCTCACTGCTGCTGGGGTGTCATTGCCTCCAGGCCCCCTCATGGACGGAGTAGGAAATTCATCTACGTATGCTCTTACACGCACGCGCACGCACGCACCTGTATTTCCTTATCACCCATTTGCATCGATATTAAAAACGAGTTCATACTGATGCCTTGCGTCCCAGCCCAGTATCCCAGAGCTCCTGCAGGCTTCACCTCCTTCCTCATGACTTACCCCCCGTCGGTGAACAGGCTGGCTGTTACCATCCACAGTGTGTTTGCTGGTTCATTCCACTCTGGTGCGCACGCGTAAGGCAGTTTTGAAAACCCAGCTCACTGCTTGGAGGATAGTATGTGTTCACGCTCTTGCCTGATGCTTGTGGTATCCTGCCTTCCAGAATTACCCAGGATTGTTCTTTGCTTCCCACCCCCTTCAGTGTGGTCATGTCGCTTGTTTGTAATGCAGTCAGGTTCCTTTATTACTGCATTATATTGCATTGGGCATTCACACCACGTCCTAGTAGGTTTTGTTTGTCCGGGGTTTTGGTATGTGAAGCCTCGCTGTGACTCAGAGTCCGTTCTCTATCAAGTGGCGTCCTTGGAGAAGTGCCGCCCCGTGTCCCCTTCCCTCCACCTCACCGCCCCTGCAGACAGGTGGTCTTGTCACTTCTTGGTTATTCTTTCCGTATTTTTTTGCACAAGTGAACGGATAGTGTTTTCTCCTATTTCTTATATGAGCTTTGCTTTTTTTCTTAATGTGTATGTTGGAGTTCAGTTCGTACCGCTATTGCTCATTCTTCTTACCTCCCTGCATTCTTTTTTCATTGTGGTAAAATATACATAACACAGTTTCCTGTTTTAACTGTGTAAGTGTATAGTCCAGGGACATCGAGCCCATGCCCGCTGTTGTGCAGCCCTCCCCCCGCCCCAACTTCATCTTCCCAAACGGAGGCTCTGTCTGCATGACCGCTAACCTCCCAGCCCCTGCCCAGCCCCGGCTCCCACCGTCTACGTTCTGTCTCTGCGAGTCTGACGGCTCCAGGGACCTCGCAGACATGGAACCTCAGCTCTGGCTTCTTCTGCATTCCCTTAGAAATTTATTTTAAGAAGCTTAAAAAAAATAGAAATAAAAGATTATCATGTATCGATTGAAGTGTAGCTCCTCAGACTTGCTGAACCTACCAGTATGAGTCTGCTTTTCAAATCCGCAGGGGCGCTCAAGGGCACGGGGCTTTGTTTCTGTGCGTCTGTCACACCCACAGACGTGTAACACTGCACGTGGTTATGCGGCCTGTGCTTTTCATCTGATGTGGATTTGAGCTTTGTTGTTGGCCCTTCACTGGGGCTGTTCCGTTCCTGCTGAATGCTGTGTGCGCTGATCCCCCCGGTGGATTCGTCACATTTTGCATATCTGTTGTGCTGATGGGTATTCGGGTTGTGTCCCGTGTTTCCTCTGTCCCCAGGAAGGTCCTCGTGCAGGCTCCCCCACGTGCAGTCTGCAGACTCCTAGAAGGGAATGTGTTCACTTAGCGCATGTTCAAGAAGATGCCCAAATGCTCTCCAAAGTGATGCTCCCGAGCCCCGCTTCTGCTTACGGGCTGTGAGAGTCCCTGCCCCATGCCCTTGTCTCCCGCTTCTGCTTACGGGCTGTGAGAGTCCCTGCCCCATGCCCTTGTCGTACTCCTTTGTATCGTTGGACTTCCAAATTTTCCTGGTCGCCTGGGTGAGGATGGCCCTCCTGCTGTCCACACTTGGGTCTCGTCTGTTCCCAGTGAGCATCGTCTGCTGTGTTTATCACCAGGCCATATCCTCGTCTGTGATCAGCTCTGCAGAGCCCTTGCTTTTCTGTTGGCTTTCTCTGGGGAGGGGAAGAGGAAAGCTCAGCACCGGGGTGCCTTCGCTGTGGCTTCGGGTGGGGTGCTCAGTGGTGAGAGTCCGTGCTGCTTCTGCTAGTCAGCGGGCCCACCGTATCGGGGCTCCCAAAGCTACTGCGTTTTTCCCGTCTGCTGTGTTCACCGTTGTTTCAGATGGTTGTCATGCGTTCAGTGACCTCCACTGCCCTTATCCTCGCAGAGCTTCCTTTTAAAGCTCCAGCTTGTCCTTCACCTTGTTCTCAGAACGCAGGTATCAAAGCTGATTGGTTTGTGTGCAAAGTACAGCCAAATGGGCTTCGAGTGATGGCTCTGGGGAACCTCCCCCCGGGACCGCGGCGTGTAATCCTGAGTACTTCGCTGCTGGTGCTGAAAGCTCAAAAGATTTCCTGTAAACCCAGATCGCACTGGGGCTTGTGTTAACTAAACAAGGGCCCAGATACGCCTTTGGCCAGGTAAGTATATCCTGTCCCTCCAGCAGGGAATGGTGAGCTTGGGTCAGCTGAAGGTTGGTGGGAAAGTAGTTGAGGGAGGCGGTGTTCACAGGCTCCCCTTCGGTGGAACACTCTGGATGCCATGGCCTATGTGGCCTGTGGGCCCCTCTGCAGTGCTCCACAGGCCCTCTGGATCCCCACTGGGCTGTGTGACGGCAGTGAACGTCACGTGCAGACTCTTGGGATTCGTGCACTCCCAGCTCACGCTGGGCAAGTCAGGCAAGGGGTGGAATTGAAGGCTCAGATGATCAATATCAGATTACTCACCTCCAGTGGGAATCACGTGGCCTGATGGGCAGTGGGCTGTCTCTGCAGCGAGTGTGGGAAGAAATTCCACATCGGCAGTCTCTACCTTTCTCCTCTGGGCTGAAGCCCTTTGAGGTGCAAAGGTTTCTTTTCTTTTCTTTTCTTTTCTTTTCTTTTCTTTTCTTTTCTTTTCTTTTCTTTTCTTTTCTTTTCTTTTCTTTTCCTTCCTTTTCCTGTCTTTTCCTTTCTTTTTTCCTTTCTTCTTTCTTTTTCTTTCTTTCTTTCTCTCTCTGTCTCTCTCTCTTTCTTTCTTAAGGTTTTATTTATTTATTTGACAGAGAGAGACACAGTGAGAGAGGGAACACAAGCAGGGGGAGTGGGAGAGGGAGAAGCAGGCTCCCCGCCGAGCAGGGAGCCCGATGTGGGGCTCGATCCCAGGACCCTGGGACCCTGTCCTTAGCCGAAGGCAGACGCTCAATGACTGAACCACCCAGGCGCCCCTCTTTCCTTTTTTCTTCCTTCTTCCTTCCTTTTTCTTTCTTTCTTTCTTTCTTTTTCTCTCTCTCTCTCCCTCCCTCCCTCCCTTTTTCTTTCTTTCTTCTCTTATTTTTTTTAAGAGGAAGATATTTTTTAATTTTGAAAATTTTTTTATACACATGAACCTTATCATTTTGACCATTTTTAAGTGTAGAGGCATGCCTCACTTTATTGTTCTTTATTCATAGATGCTGTTTTTTGTTTTTTTTCTTACAAATTGAAGGTTTGTGGGGCGCCTGGGTGGCTCAGTTGTTAAGCGTCAGCCTTCAGCTCAGGTCATGGTCCCAGGGTCCTGGGATCGGGCCCCACGTTGGGCTCCCTGCTCTGCAGAGAGCCTGCTTCTCCCTCTCCCTCTGCGTGCTTGTGCTATCTTTCTGTCAAATAAATAAATAAAATCTTAAAAAAAAAATCGAAGGTTCGTGACAACCCTGCACGGAGCAATTTTAGTGTTGTTTTTCCATCTTTTCTCACCGTGTGTCTCTGTGTCACATTTTGGCCGTTCTCGCGACATTTCAAACTTTTCC